TGCTTTACAGGTCATGTCATGCAGTGTGCAATGAGGGAAATTTTTCCATGACGGTAACAATATAATGAATAAAAATAAATTAATAAAGATAATGCTTACAGTACATGCGATGAAAATTTTCTGAAAATATAAAAAAATGAAACGATTCAAAAGAAATGTTTGGACACTGGCATATTTCATGGAATTTTCATTCTTAAATGGGATACAGCTGCTTAAAATTGCTCTCTGGCAGTTCTTCTGACAATATCATCGCTTTACAAGTTATCCCATTCATCAAGCACAATACTGACCAATAAAAGTCATTTAAATGATTTTTGAAATTAAATTATAGGCTATAATATGTTTTCAAAACTAATAAATAAAATAATAGTATAATAACAAACCAAAAAAAAAAAAGCCTACCCATTAGCACCACATCTTTTGGTGTTTTCTGGTGTTCCTTGGCAACTCGTACAATTTGTTCAAACACCACATTGACTAGTTTCGTGTAAGCTTTTTCTAAATCTGTCCTTCTTTCAGATCCTCGGAAAATATGCTCTGCCAAATTGGCAAAATCCTGAACATAAAAAATAACTGGGATGATACAAGGCAAAAGTGAAATGAAATGGAGGTTTAACATCTTACTTTTCTTCACCTAATTGGGCTAATGCAGTGTTCAATGAGGGAAATTTTGCCAGGACAGCAACATTTTCTTGATCACGTAATACTTGATATAAGACTGAAGACAAACCTCAAAAGAATGGACAAAACTGATTATTCCACATCTATTTTTCTTGGACACCTTGGCATCTTCTATCATACGAATCTGAGATTGCTGAAAAATACCAAAAAAAAACTCTTGACGCCAACATTGAAATATTATTATTTCCAATTCAAAACTAAAACTTCCTACCTAAAACATCCTCAAGCCTTTCCTAAAAGATTTCAGAACAGTTTATCATGTTCAACAAAGATACTGTTCAGTTAATACGGCGAAAATTTGAAACTCTTCAAAATTTATACTTTAGCTTTCCTTTATTTTTGCTGCATCAATAACATAAAAACTTACAATATATTTATCAAAGTTACGTTTTACTTTCACTAGACAGTTACCAAACGTCATACTGAGAAACGAACCAACATCTTGTGTGTTTATAACATGTTGTCCCATCCGTACTAACATATACATCGAATATCTATAAATAAACAACTATAGAGTTATCTTGATTGAACCGAGTCAGATGGGGCAGGGGGGTTCTGTCGTACAGTTGGTAATCTTTACATGATGTTATTTACATGGGTACATCAAACAAATGTTAGTCATGAATTCTTATCTAAATTAGTCTCAGCTGTAAGTGGGTACGGATAATCCAGGAAAGATCAATGCCAAAAGTTTTGACCAAGGACCACCTGGTAGAAAGGTTTGTTGTGAACCTAAGTTGTTATCCTTGTAAAATCAATGCCAAGAAATTTAACCAAGGACCACCTGGTAGAAAGGTTTGTTGTGAACCTAAGTTGTTATCCTTGTAAAATCAATGCCAAGAAATTTAACCAAGGACCACCTGGTAGAAAGGTTTGTTGTGAACCTAAGTTGTTATCCTTGTAAAATCAATGCCAAGAAATTTAACCAAGGACCACCTGGTAGAAAGCCTGAGTTGTTATCCTTGTAAAATCAATGTCAAGAGGTTTAACCAAGGACCAGCTGGTAGAAAGGATCCTGTTACTATGAACATTCCCACAAAATTTCATATCTATGTATGTATTATCCAGATTCAACTATAACTAAATATAAAATAAACCCTACTTACAAACCATCCTTGCTATCAGCAAATGTTATAAAACTATCTAAATCTTGCTCTAGGGTGGGAAATAAACTCAATAACATTTGTCTAAAATATAAATAAATAATTATAAAATTACGTGATATTAAGAAAGGATTAAATATCAATCGTACAAATTTATTTATCACAGAGATGATGCTTGGAAATGAAATGGAGTTTTTTATGTGCTACTTTTGAGGAAAAGAAGGGGCAATGCTATGTGGTGTGCAATGAGGGAAATTTTACCAGGACAACAGTGTTAATGCTTCTGAGTATAATGATGACAATGATGATTCCATAGAGACTTTGAAATTATTTTTTGAATGTTTCCACTCACCTTACACCATCGTTCATCTGTCTCCTACAAATATCAAATATCTTTTATCAACAGTGAAATTCTAATATTTTTCATATTATTCATAGAAATAATTTGCTTTTTGTTTTACATACTTCTGAGCCAGATTTTTCTGGCAAAATTTGTGTCACAATGAAACCCCTCAGGCTCTTCCACATTGCTTCTGTATTTGAAATCTGAAGTCTAAAGCTGTCTCCCCATTCAGTCTACCCCCATTTCCAAGAGTCGGCCTACAGGAAGATTGTAATCTAAACTTACTTCTCTTTGGTTGTTCGACGTTGATATAATCCTTCACCAAGATTCTCTTCAAAATATTCTCTAGAAAATATATAGAGAAAATATTGATATGAACATGCCCCTTTTTCATCTCTGTTCCAATGTCAATTGTTTGGGATCTTGGAAGTACATATCCTCTATATTGTAAATATTGTGCCATTAGTCGTTTTGCATCATTTTTTGCATTTCAAATCATCCTCTTGCTTAACCCTTTCAATCCAAGTGACCAGTTTACCAGCCACATAATTCCAATATATACCCGAGCAGTCGGTACAGCAACCGTTACCAAGTGAGTCACATGACGTAATCTTCAGAATCTTCAAGTTATATAACTTGGAGTTCAGGGTATATGATGTTTGTTTCATTTAAACTCAGGGTTCAAAGGGAAAAGAGTTCTAATTCCTCAACCAGTGCTTTTAGAGTTGAAACTTAATTAATCTACTTACTCCTGGACATTTGTGACTTTTCTTGGCGTCCAAATATCAGAACTCTCAGAATCTTGATCCCCATCCTGAAACGAAATCAAAACTTGATGAAATGACAGTTGAAAAATAAAATGAAAGGAAAAAAAAGAATCTTTCTATTTGGTGTAATTTAACTAAGAAAGATGTGTTTAAAGTTTAACAGCATAGAGACATAGAAATAAACAGACAATAACCTTACTTTTAGTCCTTCTGCCACCAATGATTCACTCAGGTGAAAAAATTTATCACAAAAATCCTGTTCTGCTAGACATACTCTTTCTAGTTCAGTGAAAACTTTTTCAAGAATCTGAAAGATTTAATGAGATTAAACTGATATATCATCAAAATATCTGATATAAGAACATTACAGGTCTATTTTAAGAATGCAACTAAATGCTTTTTTTTAACGAGACAGCAAAGATGTTTTCTGTCCTTTTCTGGTGGTTGTGGATTCTAATTTTTGCGGCACGCAAAAGTCTTTTAATCTCGAATAAGACATCTTTTAATATTATTCCAGTTGACCAATCTGTACATGGGTACTGATAAATCGCAGAAAATTCAAAGCCGAGAGGTTTGACCAAGGACCAGCTGGAAGAAAGGATCCTTGTGAACCTAAGTTGTTATCCTTGTGAACCTAAGTTGTTATCCTTGTGAACCTAAGTTGTTATCCTTGTGAACCGAAGTTGTTATCCTTGTGAACCGAAGTTGTTATCCTTGTGAACCGAAGTTGTTATCCTTGTGAACCAAAGTTGTTATCCTTTCTTACTTACCGAATCAAAGAATCCACGATTAGCGATATCAGTTTCTGATCCATAACCAACAGATAGAGAATCTACACTCTGCATGGAGGGTGACCTCCCTCGTAATTTAGATGACATCTTCTCTAAACTTGTTGAGGAGCCTGATACTACTGAGGCTATTCCTGAAAACAAAGGATTTATCATCATCTCAATTTTCAACTCCATTCTATTTTGTATGCAAGTTTCCCCCTTCCCACCTCCTACACATTACAAATATAAAATATCAACAAAAAAAACCAGGAAAATAAGTGTATGTAAATAAATGTCTTACCGTGTTTTCCTTTATCAGCTTTTCCAGTGACTCGTTGTTTGGCACATTCTAAAAACTCCTGTACTTCACGTGTATATAGTTTAGATAAATTATCAGCATACACCTAGAAAACAAGGTGTTTATTTCAAAACTAAAAGTTGGATTAAGAGGATTCAATTGGTTCGTCAATAATCCTAATCCTACTAATTCTAAACTCTCTGATGCTTTGATATATTAATGGAAGTATATTGAAATTATGACTATTTTAAATTAAATCCTTTGCCAACTTTACATTTGAAAATTCAAATCAAAGATTCCAAAAAAACCATAGCAACCGCCAATTTGATCAAAGTTGTAAGATCAACATATGCCTCCCCCACCCCCTATCGAAATCATACTACCCTTCTTTACTTTGTGACCTAGGCCAGTGTTTTTATGAGATTACGACCTCATCCCCATCTAACACTACCCCTCAGGGTATTAAAGAAATTCAAAGGTTACCTCTGATAAACAGTCAAAGACGACAGGATCAGTGTTTTTTAACCAGAACATTAAATCAGAATATATTATCAGTTGTTTTTGAACTGATTCGTGTTGGAGCATCTTTAATTCTCCACTGAATCTACTCAGTGATTCGGCCATTTGATTTCCCTGAATAGTAAAACATGGGATACATTTTCTTCTGGTGACAAAGCTGACTGTCTAGTCAACCAAATTATTAAATCAATGCTCTAAGACCAATTAGAACAGGTGTGCATTATATTCGCAAATATACAGTTTATGTCCAATTTAAGAACTGAGTATAAAATTCTTCAACAAGTGTTGTTGCCATTTTTCTAAATGTTCAGAAGCAAATAATTAAAGAAGTTTGATTGGTTAACATTGTCACAGTAATCAGACATCTTGCGTCATATCAAAACACAGATTAATCTGTTACCTGATGTATAAACAAATTATTTAAATGTTGGGACAATCTTTTACTGAAATTACTGGAAATTTTATTAAACTTCTTCTGTTGTTCTTCTACAGCCCCTAGTCTCTTTAACGCTGAAAAAAATGGTGGAGAAATATTATCAGCATGCTGGGATACAAACCTGTCGTTATGTTGAATGTCCAAACGTGAATAATTCTGTACAAACATGGGTTTGAAGTCTCGAATTTCGACGGTGATTTGTGAACACTATTATTGATTGGCTTAGCTAAAAGAAAAAACAGTTTCTGTGACTAAGGTATGATTGGTCAAACAGATGGTGAACATGTCCCTTTAATTATGACTATTGAATCAAACAGAGTCAAGGAACACACTCAAAAGTATTTTTAGAATATACTAGATACCTGGATTCATCTCAATATTCATACACCTGTGTAGAGCTTGAGCAGCCTGGACACATTCATAAATACCATTCGGTGTGGACAGATCACCATCTAATAACGCACTCATATGTTTAATATCTAAATCCATTTGACTCTATATAAAACATTCAATTATGTATATTAATATTATAAATTTCAGATAAAATTTGATTATATATAAGGTGGATAGAAGTAATATTAGAGAAAAATGGCATCATCTTCACAATATCAAGGTATTATCAACTTGTCTTGTACCTTGAGTAAATGTAAACTTGATGATATCGCTGGACTGTATGTAAGTCAATAACTTTTCAGTCTGTCTGTCGAGGGCTATGATTAGGTGTATTTGCTGACATACAAACCAATCAAAACCTTGGATACAAGAATAGCTGATGTAGTCAAGGTATAAGATGAAGTTTGTAATAGCTTGTCATTGTGAAGATGATTGGCATAGGCTTATTGTGTTTGTCCACCAATCCCACAAAATTCCCTTAAGGTTTCCACTCTCCTGGTTTTTGGTATTTCATTATTTTCATAAAATCAAATTTCTAATCGTGTAGCTAGTCAAATATAAATAAAAAGATACTAACCACAATAGATTCTAGACTCTCAGTCAACTGGTGAAGATTTTTATTTCTGATTGTCATTAACATATCTTTATCTCTCATTACCTCCATCTGTTCTTTTACATTCTAAATCAATATATCATAACTTTACTCCTGTTTATTTATATACACATAATATTATAATCATTCTGACAAGTGCCCCCACTGATACAATTTTGTCAGTAACAATCTTGGCGCATTGTTTTTCTTTTTAGTATGTTAGATAGACTCCATCATTCCTTTGAACATACCATTGGTAAAACTATCCTATTGTGGTCATATTTCTTTACCCTAGTTTCACACCAACTTGTTATGGTTTGAACGAAACTGAAATCTTAAAGAAGACAATGCAAGAGAAACGCTCATAATTGTTGTGAGTTATTTAAGGTCAAATATGAACCCTGACTCGTGCCCATTGAGTACACTGGTTGACAAAGTAGACTAGACTAACCTCTAGTATTTGATCATAAGAATTGAGTTGTTGTTCCACTGTTTCAGCCTGTTTTATTCCATCATCTAGCAATCTCATCAGGTTTAAAACTTGATCTTCTGACCCCATAATAGAATGGATGTTAGCCTGAAAATAAAAACACAACAGGCTCTTGTGAATTTCTTATTCGGTGAATTTAATATTCAGAAAATTACTGATATGCAAGAACAGGATAAGCCTATAACCTCCTCTTGGACAAGGTCAGTGAGGTTTTTTAATGATCAATAGGTGGAAGAGGATTGTAAAGGGCGGCAGATAAGAATGATATGAAATAGGAAAAGGAAAGGGTGTGATAGTTGGGATCATTTCTAACCCTCCTGTCAATAAGATCTGCAGTTTTCCCAAGTCTGAATTCATTTACAATATCATTGGAGGAGAAAGAACTCATATAACTTACCCCATCAAGAACAGACAACTCTTTAGAGAGCTTCTCAGCAAAAACTTCAGCATTAGCTATACCAGCCTGACATGAGGACATCAATCTTTCGAGATCTGACTCCTCTTTAGAGGACAGAGCCTGATAATCCTCATCCTCTATAGAAATATCATCTCCATCTGTAGTCCCTGTATTCTGGTCTAATGGCTGGTTCACGTCTGCAATAATAACATGAAACAGAATTCAAATGAATGGAGTCTTGCATCCTACTCTTCTGCACATTATTGGGCTAATCAAGACGGCAACGCCATGCAGGGTGCAATGAGAGAAATTTAGCCAGGACAGAGGCATTAGCCTGTTCATTTTCGATTTCACATTGTCGAGATATCTTTAATGTGCACAGCCTGTAGCACACAGGGTCTCTTCCGAATGACTAGACGTTTTTTTTCCATGTCAGTCACTCCAACCTGCATCACTGACAAGGGGAAACCGGGTTGAAAAATTCAAAGACATTATTTCAACCTCTGCTGGGATTGGACCTTTAGGTTAGATAGCAACCATCTAACTCAATCAGCTATTGCAGCTATGATTGAAGCTGTTAGAATGAAATTTAAATAAAAGATATGGGAACAAACCCTGCATCAGATGTTGAGGAATGTTGACAAAGGATGGTTTCTGTATTAAATATCTCTGACTGAGCTGTAATAAAAATTAAATATTCATTTGAAATTGTGTTAAAATTGCTGAATTCAGATATATATATAATGTAAGCACGCTCACTCAACGGGAGCAAGAAAACAATGAGAATATTCAATATTTAAATTTAATAAACAAGTTCTTCACAGTTTATGCATACATTCACCATTAGGGGGATGCTCCATCAGGTCAATCTTCCTGTGTTTGAAGAGAATTAATTTCAAAATTAAATTTGACTCACTCTCCATAATGAGGCTAGAAAACTCTCTTTTTCTTCAATACCACTCGTAGCCCAGCTATAAATCTTCTCAAAATGGAGATCAAATTCTGGTGTCTCCTTCAACGAAAAATAAAAATAAAAATAAAAGAATTCAAAATTTGACCAACCAAAACTTTTTTTTAGCTAAGCCAATTAGTGATAATGTTCACAACTCACTGTCGAGATTGGAGGCTTCAAATCCATGTATGTCCAGAATTATCTGTGTTTTAAGGAGAGATATGACCATGCCAATGACAATGTAACTAATACAGAATGAGGGTTCGTAAAAAATGTGTGTAACAGTCAAACCTTTTCAGCACTCTTTCCATCGACTGTTCTTAAATCTCGTAATAACCATGATAATTTCTTCTTAAAACCATCACCTCTATCTGTCTTTTTAACTTGATATATAAATACCCGAATAGGGCTGTCTGTAGTATTCACTAGATTAACAAATTTTAAAATATTAACCAAACTGTACAAAAGCACTGGCCAAGGGTCATATTGTAAGGGAGGCAATTTCAAGACACCAGCTTTTCTGCCCCTGAATGGACTGGCAAGACCATGCAGTGTGCAATGCAGCACTATGATGGAAAATTTCCAAACACAGCAAACGAAGCAAAATCAATTTCCAACTGTCAAGGGATCAAAAAAATCCTAAATCTAGCTTTGGTTTAGAGATAAAAATACAACTTACAAACAGCACATAAATAAGATCCTTTCCTTTTTCTGGGTGGTTTATATACATTAATCAAACTAATTAATCTTTCATCGTTAGGCAGAAATAAATCTCGTTGTAAGGTATGTTTTATAGCAGCTGCCATTGTTTACCCTAAAATGAAAAAAAAAATTCACACGCAAGAGACTTCAGGTTAAGACATGAAATGAATTGAAGTTCTATGTTCTGCTTTTCTGCTCCAATCTTGGAAATGAAGACTGGCAAAACTTTACACCAATGAGAAAACTTTTCAAACTGAGGGATCTTCAATGATCAAAGACAGACTATGTCTGTAGCATACAGTTTTTTTTTATGGCAGCCCCTTTGTCATCTAGACCCACCCTACCTCTTGTTTATAACAAAACAATAAGTTTGGCAAGCAAGAGATCAGCCTGTTGTGCCAACACCAATCCCTTCATGGTCAGAATTGATTACAAAAATGTATGCCTTCCACTGGCTTCCAGTCTTGCCATTGAGATGATGCCCCACCCCTTTCCACCTCGACAGTTTGTTTCCTCAAGCAATCAAAGATCGGGAGAAAGTTAACTAGATTGAAATTTGCAGCAAGCCATCCTCAAAATGCCCATATCCGATATGGTCGTAACATTAACGTAAAAGCATGCAAACTTACCTTTTATAATGAATTTCATACAGAAAGCACATACATTAAAAACATTTCTACTTTCATTTTATTAATGTACTTCCGGCCAACAGTACGCATGCTCAACGCACCTGTCAGTCTGTAGCCTTGTACATAAAGACGTTATATTTTCTTTTGATAATTGAAACTATAAAACATGTCTTGACAGTCTGGACTATGTTGCTTAGTGTTTGTAAACAAATGGCCGTCAAAGAAAGAAAGATTTGTATGCCAGTGAGAGTTTTTTTGTGAAACCTGACTGCGAGAAGTAATAAACGATCTCTTAAGGATTTTAATCAGAAGGGCTATCCTTCCTGATCTTTAAAAATGGCAACAGGACATATTTTGCCTGGTTATGGCAATCCTGTCAGCCGATTAAGAAGAGTGCGGCATGTCGGTTATCCTATTGAAAATGACTGGCTTCTTAAAATGAAACAAGAAACCAATTTAGATAGAAGCGAATTTGAAATGATTCGAGCTAAAGCTAGGCATGTGTGGTCGAAGCCAGACCGTGAAAAGACAACATATAGATTTCATTATAATGGGGATGAAATTGGAAGTTTGGTGCCCAGGAGACCAACATCACCAACTAGAAGAAATAACCCACACCCACCTGTGTAAGTATTTCAAATAACTTGTAAGGTTATTTATGATTTATTTGTTCAATCAATCCTGAAATCCTAAAACAGTGGTGTTTTTATGGATCATAAGATTAGGGGGCTGTGTCGAGGGGGCAGGTTTTACAAGGTGGCCCCAGACTATTCTGTTAAATGGTAAGAAATTAAATGTTGAGGGCCCAATGCTGGGTCAGCCTCTTAGAAACTCCACTGACTAGCCAGACTTCATTCCTATTAATTTTAATAGCAAATGATATGTGCTCCTTTATATCAAGTGTTATTATTTCAACAATTTGATTGAAGTGAAATGTTGTAGTGTTGGCTGATTAAAAATATTTTTGATGTTTTGGAATTATTTTAAAATGAATTGGGAATATGTCTATTGTATAATTAGAGTTAGGGTGTATTTAGATGAGTCTCAATGAAAGCACTGGCCTAGATCACAGAGCAATAGATAAGTCTAATAATTATGTGAGTTATCATGCTTGCATTTTAAATTTAAACCTGTTTATATTTCAGAGTATTTTTACACAATAAATTACATCAGGTTGGAGGCTATGACAAACCTGATACCAGTATTAATTATACAACACCTTATCAAGGTTAGCTCTACTTTCATTTTATTTCTTCATTAATATTTATTTCATTTAAGGGACATTGTAAAGAGATATTCTTAACTTAAAATTTTGTATGTGTATTGGGAATATATCAATGATCTGCAACATTCCAATTTTCAGTCAGACGTCTGTGGTTCCTGCAATTCCACTAAATTAAGTGTTTTATGGAATCACTTTTCGCAAAGGGCCTTGTAAAATGCACGGGCAGGTTTTGTGATAGTGATGTCATGTCATCAAACGCATAGTTTGATGAATGATAGAATTCACTTCAGCGAGAAAGGGTCTAACTCACAGAGTCCTACAAATTGACTCTATTACATGTATTATATCTATCGAATAAATGTTTGAAAATTTCAAAGTGTCATCTGAAATCTTGTTGTTTATAGTTGATGGAAGTGAAGGATTAAGTCCAATAGAGAATCATGCTAGAAAATTAACTAGATCTAAATACCTAGACCGACCTTCTACAGCAGCTATCAATCAGTATAGAGATGACTATGTAAGTCAGTTGGTTTTTATTTCAACTACCTCCAAGCTACTCTGTCCACCATTATTTTGTTACCAAAATTCAGACAAAGTTTAACTTAAGAGAGGGTTGAGGGGGGGCCACAGATCGGAGGTGGGGTTTTGGGCTGGGCATTCAGGGTATATGATGTTTTACTTGATTCACATTCAGTGTTCAGGTGAAGCCTTTCTTTGTCAAAATGGCTATACCCTTTCAAATGATTATATGCTTATGAAACCTCAATTTCTGCTTCATTTAGAGACTAAAAGAGTTCCTCGAGCCTACTGCTGCCCAAGCTACTCAAGCCTTTTTAAATCAGGCCAACCAGCCAGGTAAGCTCTTGAAAGTTTTAAACTGAATGAACAAAATTTTATAAAAACAACTATATTTTTCAAGGATAACAACTTAGATTCTCAAGAATCCTTTCTACCTGCTGGTCCTTGACCAAACCTCTTGACATTGATTTTTCAAGGATAACAACTTAGATTCACAAGAATCCTTCCTACCTGCTGGTCATTGGACAAACCTCTTGACATTGATCTTTCCTGAATTTATAAGATCACTTATTCAGTACTCATTTACAGCTGGGTCTGCTGAAATTATGAGTGAAGATGACTTATTTAAACTCAACAGAATTTCACACGCTAACCAAGATCGGAACTCACAATCACCATTTGTTTACCTATGCCAAGATAAAGTGCTTCCTTGTTTTTCTATTCCCATGCAATTGGTTAGTCTTTCTATAATTTAATGCACCTAGTTTGCTTTGTTACTGTTCTTATGTCTATTTCAGAAAAAGATGAGGCTTTACAAAGATTAGAAGACCAAAGATTTCAATATTTTGAGAGCCAAAAGGTATTGTACATCTTGTTATGTTTTACAAATTCTTCTCTTATCTGATTCCTGGCTTACTGAATGCATGCTCTTATCAAAGTTAATATTAAGCAGAGCATTTCATTGGTTGAATATCTTAATGACCTAGAACTCATGTATCTTAGCAATATCCTCAGATCATGAATGGGAAGTGGAATCATCCTCAGCTAAAAAGAAACATTCCGATTTTTATTATTCAGATTGTATTCCTTTCGACGAATGCTTTCAGTGTTTTCAGAGCACCACAACTTTGTAACATTTGGTGGGGGATTTTCCCCAATGGATGTGAATTTGATAAGATTTTGCTTTTTTTTCAGTATGGCACCTCACCTCGTGCTCAAACCGCCTACCCCTCAACTTACAGATGGATGAAAATAGCTGGCCCAAATGGTAAGCAATGTTTTCTATGCAAATATTCAGCAAATAAGCAGTACTGAATTGTGCTTCAGAGTCAGATGTCGAACTGAATTCTGCTCCATATAATGGGATTATTAATAGGCTACTATAGAGCAGGAAGAAGCTAAAGAGATAGTAGGCCTATTGGTTACCTTTGTGCGTGTTTCTTTATATATTTCTTGCCCAATTTTAACCAATATTATTCTTAAACTTTACCCATCAATTTCAAAACTGTTAGTTTGTGCTTAATATATTTCAGAAAATTACCGTTTAAATGGTGTTCCCTACCCTGAAAATATTCAAGTCAACCCACCCTTGCCAGGTCCTCTAGAATTGCTCGGATTACGACGCTGCCAAAATAAACAGACCAAACGACCACAGTTACGATTTAATTCAGCAAGGGGAGATTACTCTATTCATCCAGACTGGCCACCTAGTATACCTCACCATTTCGTTCCTTAAACTTGAAAACTATTGTTATAAATACAGAGCCTAATAGTATGTTTTTAAGGCATCTCTAGAAAAGACAGTTTTTACCAAAGAAAATTTTACTCGTCTTACTGGAATCTGATATTTGATGAAAGAAATAACTTGATTCTTAGATAATTGTATGATGGAATTTAAGAAATAACAAGAAGAAATAATAATGATGATAATTTATTGGAATAATAATATATATAACCAATTTTAGCGTCTATATTCAAAAACAAATATGCTGAAGCAGACCTATCAATTGTACGACAGCAGAATTTCACCCAACCTCAAACAATCATCAGACGTGTGGTCCTATCCCTTATAGGGTGATGCACAACAACAGAATCAATTCACCAGGTGTGTACTACTTCATAGGAAACTTCTAACCTAGAAATAACACACACAAACATTGTACCTTGAAAAAGGTTATTATATTTCAACAAAGCCTTAGAATCATATTTAAAGAAATTTCAAAGTCTTTACATATGACATGTTTGTGAACTACATTCGTATGTGTCATTTCCATGTAAGAACCATACGTAGTTTCATCCTAAATCTTATGATGTACAATTTACACCATTCCAATTTTTAATCAGAAATCTATAGTTCCTGCAATTCCATTAAAACATCATGAAACACTTAGTTTTAGTAGAATTGCAGAAACCACAGATATTTGAATGATAATTGGAATGTTGCAAATCAGTGTCCCTGACACACATAAAAGATTTAATTGTGAACCCTCTCCTAATGTCAGTGAGTTATATTAACAGTTGATCTGTTTCAGCAGTAAAATTTATAAATATCCATAAAAATTAAATAATCAGCAAAATATATTCTTCAAAGGTGAAGATGCAGTAGGAGATCAGTTATGATATGGTCATAAAATACTTTTAACATAATAACATCTACTATATCTACTTTTAGATTCATTCTTATTTTGAGAGTAAATTTATCATATTTATAGCAACTGTATCTTAAAATCTAAAATCAATAACTAAATATTTACTATAAATAACAAATTTCAAATAAAACTTCATTACTAGGACTAAATATTGATGATTTATATATAGATGATAATAATATTAGCACACTTTACTTAAATACATGGATGATAGGAAAGATAAGCTTAAAGCTAACATTAACAAACAAACAAAAAAATAGAACACAATTCTTACTGATCTTCTAGACAAACAAATATTTTACTTAGATAAACATTAGACGGAGCTCAAAATGTAATCCTTCAAGCTAATGGAAGTCAAAACATAATGGATCTTATTACACATCCAAGAACCTAAATTAGACATAATAGATCTCAAAATCAATTCAGACTCCTGGAGTCTCTCATTCTCAAAAATACAGCATTCTGATTGGATGATAAAAATAAATTCAAAATTGAATTAATGATTGACCAATCAGATAACTAGTACACTAAAATAATTTTATCACATAATTATAAGATTTGAACGACATATAGAAGCGAGGAGCACATATAACAAAAACTTTGTCTAATTATGTTATATAAGAAAAACACAAGACGAAATTATATATTCCATAACATCGTCTTGTGTTTTTGTTATATCACATAATTAGACAAAGTTTCTGTCATTGAGTATCTGGAAAGTAGTTAACAAATATATACATTATAATCTGGAATGAAACATAAAAGTTGAATGATCAAGGCACTGGAGACAAGCTGGCAGATAATCAATCCTCCTACAGTTGATCTCTGGCAGATAATCAATCCTCCTGTATTTGATCTGTAAACTCTTATATACAATAACAGTTAAAAACATTGTAAAGAGGTTTTCTAAACTATATATGTGTATCGGAGACACTGATAGCATCAATTTGCACCATTCCAAAATTGGAATGATGTAAATTGATGCTATCAGTGTCCCTGATACACATAAAAGTTTAAAAAACCTCTTTACATTCTCTTAGGTAACTTTCTCTTCAGGAAGTTGGGTTGCTTGGCAACTCAATAAATATAATCAGATAATGAGATTAACCCAGTCCGTGAATAATCGTGAATAATCGTACCGTTGCTTAAAGAACTAGCTTACAAACTTAACATATCAAAATATATTTTCATATCACATTATAACTTTGGAATATTTAATATACATTTGAAAGACAAGATTTATATAAGGACACCTAAAGAATAAAGACTTTCTTCTACAATAGCCACCTTTCATGTATGATGGAATACAGCAACTGATTGGATTGTATGCCAGTGAATACAGCCAATCATAGCCCTCAAGAGAACAATATTAAGGCTTATTGTATACAGACTTTCTGTCGAGGCTTCTGATTGGTTGTATTCGCATACGTACAATCCTATGAAATAGCTGTATTCTGTGATACAAGAAAGGTGGCTATTGTAGTCAAGGTATAAAAGTTTGTAATAGCTAGATATTGGAGAGAGAATAAAGGAAACATGATATTACTATATATAAAGAAAGTGAAACCTCTCGAAACCACATCCTCTGTAAACCAGCTTCTCGTATTTCACAATAAACTAGAAACCCCACGTAACCCACATTTTCCTCTGGTCTGATTAGATGCCTGTTTAGAAGGGTTTCACTGTATCTGTATATTTTTTAAGGCAGAGGCTATTCGTACCGCGACTGTACAAAAATGGGCATTAAAAATCATATGGCCATCCCTACCTAACACTAAAAAAGTCACTTAATATCATTCTTGACAATCAAAATATCTTATCCATACCATTGTTAGCAGCAATAGAGAACACGCATCATGACGGTACAAATAGCCAGTGCCATTTTTTAGGTACATATATATACCACATTTACACCTATCTTAAAGAAGTATTACAACAAATATAAAACATACAGTAAACATTGCTTTAAATAATACTATATTTTATTCTATACTACTCAACTAATTAAAAAAACAACACAAGCAGCAGTTTAAGAGTAAAAATGGATGCATAGAAAGTGCATAGAAAAATTGGAATGGTCTGTAGTCTTATTCTTTATCAAAATAATTATCTAAATCATAATAAATAAAAACAGAACCTGAAACATGTTGTTACTCAGAGTTTCATACTGTGCGATCTTAAAACAACTGACCTATTACAGCATGTGTCTCTACTAAAGTTTAACATCTAACAAAGAGCTGTTATAATGTTTTAGAACAGGATTACTCTCATATGGTTTTCGAGCTTGCTTAGGATTTCATTTGCTTTCAAGACAAAGCTAAGTAAAGCTTAAATATATATATTCAATAAAAAAATAAAACCATCCAAATCCAAATATGAGTTTAGTTATTCTATACTCAATATACCGAGATAAAACTACATGAAGAAATAACAACAATGATATATTCTAAAAACAGTATAGCACTAGTTAGCAATCTACAGCCAAATATACATTTTACAAAATATAATCTGAATTAAAAAAGCTTTAATTGTTTGTTCCATTGTGTTTGATTTGAAAGATTTTGGCGGGTAATTATTATAATATTAATTATAAAAAGTTGTAAAAATGTTCTCTGAATCTAATCTCATCAAAAAGCAATATTAGAAGTTTCATGTAGGCAGCCCAACTTGCCAGGAATGAATGATTTGGTGCTCAGAAAATTAAAATTCTGTATTTCGACTCAAAATTATGACACAATAGATCATTATTCTTCTAAGGTTTTGAGTATTTGTCATTAGAAGAAGATAAGTATACTAGTATATTAACTTTTGTTAACTGAACTCAAGAACAAACTATTTGAAAAGAAAATATCCTACAAGATCTGCTTTGATCTTAACCAACTGTTCCCTTGGTAATGATCTTTTGGAATGTTTTTACCATCTTAGTCAATTAAAAAAAAGCCGACCATATTTCAGTGAATTTCACACATCATCAATTTCTAACAACTGACATCAGAGAATTCCAAAGACTCTAGTCAATTGAACTACAGTCTACTTAAACGATGACAAAGAAAGTTTCTTTTAAATAAGTACTACTCATGCTAGTGAGAAAAAATCAATGTTCATCGACTGGAGTCTTGGGATCTGGATCCATTGTCCCTATACCAGTGTCCTTATCTTGACCTAAAAAAAACCAAATAGATTAATACACCTTATTCACGTGTCAAACAACGAATAAAATCAAAACCAATCTAATTCATGCCTCCAGAACAAACAAAAAAGGTGGCACGGCACCAAAACAATCAAATTTGGTATTCCACTGCCACAATAGGGTATAGCAGGGATGGGTAAGGCAGGGATAGGGATAGGGGTAGGGTTAGGGGCTAGGTAGGGTTAGGTAGAGTAGGGTAGGGTAGGGTAGGGTGGAGCAGGAATGGGTAAGGTAGGGATGGGTAAGGTAGGGATAAGGTAAGGTAGGGCTGGGTAGGACAGGGATGGGTAAGGTAGGGAAAGGTTAAGGCAGGTATTGGGTAGGGCAGGAATGGTTAAAGTAGGGATAGGGTTAGGTAGGGATAGGGTTAGGTAGGGATAGGGTAAGGTAGGGATAGGTTCAGGCAGGGATGGGTAAGATAAGGTAAGGTAGGGATAGGGTAGGGCAGGGATGGGTAAGGTAGGGATAGGGTAAGGTAGGGATAGGGTAAGGTAGGGGTGGGTTAGGTAGGGATAGGGTAAGGTAGGAGGGATAGGGTTAGGTAGGGATAAGGTAAGGTAGGGCTGGGTAGGACAGGGATGGGTAAGGTAGGGATAGGTTAAGGCAGGGATGGGTAGGGTAGGGTAGGGATGGGTAAGGAAGGGATAGGGATACGGTAGATATAGGATAGGGATACGGTAGAGATAGGGCAGGGTAGGGTAGAGATAGGGTAGGGTAGGGTAGGGTAGGGTAGGGATGGGTAAGGAAGGGATAGGGTAGGGTAGGGTAGGGTAGGGATGGGTAAGGAAGGGATAGGGATACGGTAGATATAGGATAGGGATACGGTAGAGATAGGGTAGGGTACGGTAGAGATAGGGTAGGGTAGGGTAGGGTAGGGATGGGTAAGGAAGGGATAGGGATACGGTAGATATAGGATAGGGATACAGTAGAGATAGGGTAGGGTAGAGATAGGGTAGGGATGGGTAAGGAAGGGATAGGGATACGGTAGATATAGGATAGGGATACGGTAGAGATAGGGTAGGGTAGGGTAGAGATAGGGTAGGGATGGGTAAGGAAGGGATAGGGATACGGTAGATATAGGATAGGGATACGGTAGAGATAGGGTAGGGAAGGGTAGG